ATCCTCTCGATCGTATAGAGGATAGTGCCTTCTTTTGATATTGGACATCGTCCGAGATACCCTGATGTCGCGTGCTCATGGCGGTACTGACACCAGCTAGGAGTGTCCCCTTGTGCAAGCTCTCAACCAGCACAAGGCAGCCTCGAACCCGACCACGTCCTCCCTCACCTCTCAGATCTTCGCCTTTCTGTTCCCTGGCAGCCCTGCAGTCAATTCCCTGCTAGCGACGCTCTACATCTCGGGCCCACCAAACTTCCTCCTCGCACTATGCCCGCCCAACATCGACCCCTCCTCGCTCTCCGTCATGGTCGCATTCGCTGTAGGCGGCCTGTTGGGTGATACTCTCTTCCACCTGCTCCCTGAGATCTTCTTGGGCGAGGAAGAGCACGACTCGGTCAAGTTCGTCATGGTCGAACCCAACAAGAACCTGTTGCTGGGCGTAGCTATCATGGTCGGCTTCATCACCTTCGTGGCCATGGACAAGGGTCTTCGAATTGCGACGGGAGGCCAGGGCGGACACGACCACTCGCATGGGCACTCGCACGACAAAGTTGAGGCTTCCGCGAAGACAACAGGCGTTGATGTCGGCAGCTCCAAAGATGGCGTGCGCTCCAGGAAGTCTGGCGCAAATGGCACATCGTCTGTCGTAGAGACAGCAGATAAAGAGATCAACGCCAGTGTCAAGCTTGGTGGTTACCTCAACCTCATTGCAGACTTCACCCACAACATCACCGATGGTCTGGCCCTCAGCTCCTCATTCTACGCCTCGCCTACGATTGGTGCTACTACGACTGTGGCTGTCTTCTTCCATGAGATCCCCCACGAGGTCGGCGACTTCGCTCTCCTCATACAGTCTGGCTTCAGCAAGCGAGCCGCTATGGGGGCTCAATTCGTTACCGCCGTCGGCGCTTTCTTAGGAACTTGCATTGGCATTGCTGTCCAAGAATTTGGAGGCAGCTCCGCCTCTGCTGACATCCAAGGTCCTGGCATTATGGGCACTAGTCTGCAGTGGGGTGACATGCTACTACCATTTACTGCTGGTACTTTCCTCTATGTTGGCACTGTTGCTGTTATTCCTGAGCTCCTCGAGACCGGTCCGAACAAAGGCCAAGAGCTCAGGAAGACTCTGATGCAATTCGCCGCCATGTTCACTGGCGCCGGTATCATGTTGTAGTAAGTTTCGCCATCCCTTGTTGTGGTTCAATGCTGACTCCCGTAGCATTTCATGGAATTAGATTCTCTCATGAGTAGGTAGCTTGGCGGTCGCTCCGAGAATTTCCGTTCTCAGACTGCTGTAGCTCTCGCCATTGTTTATTAGACGATCTGCGAGGTTGGCATGCATGGCGCAATTTCAAACCGATAGAGCTTAGAATTTGACCTCGACAACGCACGGCGGGCATAAGCCGGCGCCGATCAAACTCGTATCCTGTAAATGCGCCAGAGTTGCCAACGTGTAATCCCAATGGCGCCTTTCAGTCTGGCAAACTTCCCCTTCTGGGCGCATCGTGAGATCAGCGTTGCTCTTCAGTACACCAACTCTTCTGCGAACTCATCTCAACGTCACATGCTCCATTCGGTCTTTTTCACAAAAACTGAGTCTAGGCCTTGCTCACAACTCATATTCCGGCGCAATATTCACGACTAATTAGAAACGAACTCTACCACCACGTAGGTTTGGCACACATGTACCAAATTCTACTCACCATCACTATGGCGCAGTTAGAGTATTTCTCGCAAAAGGTAGCCGGAATCGGCTGCTTACACAAAAGGCCCGTGTGTGTTCCCTCCAAGATTGTAGTGCTGACGGGCTACGTATCTTCAGCTCCGAACATTGCACGACTGAACACGCCCAGGGCCCAAACTTCCCCGGATTACGGGCTTGTCCCCCCAAAGGTTATTCCCGCCGCAGTGGTCGTGGCTGTGCATTGTGAGATATGTCTTTGCCCAAAACTGATCAGTGCACAGTTTCAGTTCGCGCTTATCTTACATAACCACACAAGGCAGTCAGCGGCACGTTCATTTGGGGGTGTTCGTCGTGCGATGAGGCGTAGTTATGCTTGCACGAACGACGCTCGATTGGCTAGCTGATTCATCTTCTGCACAATTGGGGTAAGGCGTGCAACGAGTGATCTTGGAGCATACCAGTTTGGTCACTAAGCCACACTTGCACACTAGCGTTGCCGCCTTACCGTCTTGACGAGCGCGAAGTGGCTGCCGAGTAACCGCCGCCTCTGTCATACATATGGGCCGCATGGTTGTCATGCCGCTGTCAGACTTATAATGTGCTAGATCCCACCTTTCTTCTTGACTGACTTCTGGTTCTCCATTGTTTGAAGTGTTGGTACTACGACGACTAGCGAATCGCGACTATACTTGCGTACAAAAGGCACAGGCATCCGGCCTCCACTTAAGATCTATCTATCAGACTTCACGACGTGATGAAAGAGTTGGCCTGCGACAGGAAGATCATTTCGCAGAACGAAATGCACACGACTGCCCGACCCCAATGCAGATATACGCCACGATACCGAACGATCCTACCCACACTCCTGATCCTGCTATGCATACCGATCTTCTTCTACCAACTAGTACCGAGATATACACACGCCACCGACGAGTTCATATCATCTCTCACGAACACGCTTCGCCCACAATCGACGACTACCTTTTGCACAAAAGAAGTCGGAACGCCGCACTGCTGTGCCGTATACCTCGCCGCTGCACCCTGCCTGGACGAATGCAGGAAGCAACACATAGACCGCGAAACTCTCTCTGTAACAGCACAATATGAAAGTTGCGCAGACGAGTGCTTGGTCGAATACCAAGAGACATGCAAGAAGGCGCAACATCCACAAACATCCCTCAAGTCGTCACAACATGATTGAGCTATCCACATCAACAAAATACAAACAATTATTTACATGAAAACCTCCATCGCCTTGTAAAACGACACAAATATCACACCCCGCATGCATGCTCCAAAGAAAGATGAGCCAAGAGGCTGGAACAGTGAAGAGGCGGTGCAGGGCGGGTACGCCAAGACTGAGGCGCAGGGGACGACCGGCTAGAACGGCACTGCACGGCCACTCAGGAGCTCAGTGATCTCGTGAACCGCGGCCGAGGAAGAACGGGAATTTCATCTCAGTAATCTTCTGTCTCAGGCCATCACGTTGCTGGGACGTCGAGTGGTGGGGGCTGGGTTACTGTGGTGATGCGATATTGGGGGTGGACTGGGATACCAGAAAAGTTAGACTAGAAGAAGCAAAGGGAGGAATATAGCTTAACACATTGCTAGAAATTTATACCAGAGAAGAAGTTGGGTAGATATGGGCGTACAGATCACCTTTCATATGTGACGATACAGAATAGGAGCTGCGAGAAGCGAATATGTCTGCTCAGCAGAGGACATAGAAGAATATCAACATCACATATACTCAACAATCTGCCTATGTTTACGCCTCGGAATTCGGACTCTGCATCTCCACAGCTCTCCCGTTCTGCAATTTCCCATGTTGTAATTAGCAAGCACCTTAGGTCTTCGGCATCGCCGTGAACATCGCGATGAGATCTAGGATGAAGTTTCTGACAAGCTTTCCATGCCGTGCTCATACGATTAGAGTATGATATCCAATACCCCGCCAAGATACATCCGAGAAGTTAGCGATGCCATGAAAAACACGTTCTGTAATGGTGTTCAATGCTTGACCTTCCCGCGGAGGAGGCAGCGCGTCTTTTTCGCGCTTAGTGCGATTCTTAGCGCGTGACGTCAGAGTTTACTGCAACACCATCTCTCATCATCGCTTCATGCCGTCTCTGCATCAATGTTTATCGATACGGCATCGATACATCACCACCTAGCATTATCAGCATGACTAGATCATGTCGTTAGCAAGTCAAGGGCGCGCCTTCCGCGTGTGGTGACGCCTGCCCCAAATGCGCTCACCGTCAGGCCTCGCTTTAGACATACGACAGCACAGCGGTATGACTAACGAGAGTCTGCGCATCTTGGACTGTCGCTAGCAGAAATTCAATCGTGGAAAACCCTGAGAATATCTTCTTGCTCATTACGATCGGTGTTGCAGTCTTGGTTTCCACGCAAGCCAATGGGCACGCTCACTATCGGTTCAAGCACACGATGCCGAGCATGAACTGAACAGAATGCATCACCGCTAATATCACCCAGACTGGGATAAGGTATAATATGCTACGTTCGTGTAAAATTAAGATTAAAGGTTCACACCTAGCCGTGTTGGAGGTATTACCAGAGTTCTACCCTGGGTTGAATAGCGGTCACGGATGTCGGAGATGTAGCGGGTATGGTCATTTCACTTGTAAGTCATGCGTATCTTCAAGATGAATATTCGGATACTAAATCGCGCTATAAGGACAGTATGAGAGTCTGATCTCTACAGCAACTCTTCAATTTGTCATTATGTGGCTATAGTAAGTTCGCAGTTCGTAATGCAACGGTCCGTCGTGCTGAATGCTCTCTCTCAATACTGAGACTCAGGTTTTAAGCAAGACTGTCATTGGGTCTATGCAAGTTCGGAGACCTTTCTCTCACCGTTGTGAACTTCACGTTCTACCAGCATTAATTTTGCAGCCTCACCTGGCATTTCAAGGCGCTCAATTTTGACTGCGCACGCTGTCCTAGCTCCAACTTCACCTGCGTAACTAGCTGACTGTTACACACAAAGATACGGCACTTGAGTGACACCTACATTACCCGGGTCGCGCGCTCACCGTTCATCTGCGCTACGCTCCTCACAAATCCGCCCAATAAGACAACTTCGGTGCCTTTTCACCACTCATCGTTCACCATTCACAATCATCATCGTTATCATCATCATGAAGACTAACGCTACAGCCTCTGGCAAGATGCCAAAGAGGGCACCTCTTGTCCCCAAACTCCAAGTTCCAAACACACCGCACCCCACGCACTCGCAACGATGGACCCTCCCCTCTGCGGCAGTTGCGACAATTTTCTCGCAGAAGTCGACATGCAGAAGACTACCGGAAGATACTGGGTGAACTGCAAGAGATGCCGGGACGAGCACACAGCGGCAAGGCGAAAGCGCCGAGCACAAGAAGCCTTTGACGATGAATTCATCGACTATGACTATTTCGATTACGTCGAAGGCAGATATAGAGAACTTTCGCAAGAGACTGAGTACCGCTACCCGAGCACGGCGCAGTTCGCCGGCTCCAGACCCCAACTTGAGCCTGAGACGCGCGTTGTTCAGCATCCGAGCGCGGCCATTAAGAAAGAACCTAGACTGGGTAACGAGACACACGTAACTGTTAAGAAAGAGAGGGAGAAAGATGTCAGTGGCCCGGACGTTGCTCAAGAAGAGTGGTACGATGCCTTGGAGGAGCCGAAGCTCAGCTTACGTGAGTGTTCGGTATGCGGAGATTCCTCGCCTGTTCAAGACTATCCAAGCTTAATGGCTTGTGAGCACATCCCCGATGTCTGTCAAGAGTGTTTCATCCAGTGGCTGGATCAGCAGATGCAAGGATCGGAACGAGCGTCCTGTCCGTCCAGTGGATGCACCAACGCCATCACCCACGACGACGTGCAGAGATACGCTTCTCGAGAGATGTATACGCGGTTCGACGAGCTCTCTATGCGACGTCTTCTCGGTGAGGAACCTGGCTTCATGTATTGTCTGGCCAAAGGATGCACTTCTGGCCAGATCCACGACACCGGTGTTGAAGGTCCAATCTTTCGTTGCGCCGCCTGCGACTTCCGAATGTGCACGGCTCATCCGACACCAGTACCCTTCCACGAACATGAGTCTTGTGCGCAGTATATCAAGCGCATCGAAGATGAAGCTTCGAATACAAGGAAGAAACGTGAGGATGACGCCAGCGCTGCCGAAGTGAAGCGAGCATGTATCCAGTGTCCAAAGTGCGGGGTCAACATACAGAAGAACAACGGTTGCGACCACATGACGTGTAAGTACCAACCACCCAGATGTTGTTTGTTCAATTACTAACCTAAGCAGGTCGGCATAAGCGATGCAGGTTCCAATTCTGCTACATCTGTCGCGCACCTTATCAAGGTGCTCAAGGCATCAACATCATTGGGAACACAGCGCATCAGCGTCACTGCCGTTATCATTCATCTAGGCTCCCTGGCTACGCTAGAAATCGCTGATCGAGTTTCGGAACGTCGTCTGGCTTTTGTATGTGTGGAGGCTTTCAAGCTTGCACGCAAGAGATCCAAGCCTGATAGTTCATATGGAATGATGGCTGCATGAAGAATGCGAAGAATATGGATCGGTCATGGAGATTCATCTTGAGACTTTAGTTCCGCGCTGCAGTCTAGCAAGTTGAAAAAAAGAGTGTATTGATTTTCATTGTCTACAGTCGTGTCTCGCTCTCCCTTTGCATACATATACTTGATTGCACACTCTTCAGCCGCATCATTAGCAGAGGGTCTCTACTGCTTGAAATGACCGACACAGTCTAGCAAGATGGCTGCAGGACTCTGGCCAGCGAATCACCTCGCGAGCGCACTTACGAGAAGACCAAAAGCAACACTTGCGAACCCGTCAAGCCACCCAGATATTGGACTTCTTTCGAATCCATATCATCTACGCATGCAAGCCTCTCGACCAACTTTGTACCGTGTGTGTGTGTAGATACGCGCCCATTGGAAGACTTCCTCCGCCCACGGGAGTATGAGCATGACCCTGACGCATGTAGGGATTACATCGGCAAATGGCTAAACATCAAACGGAGAAGCACGGAGAACACTCGTATTCCCTGTCCTTCTACGGGGTAGTCTGCGGTGTTTGCATATGAAGATGCCTGTGACTTCGCGGTCGCCGTACTGTTCAATCCGGGAGCCTTTGCCTTTTCGCTTCTATGCGAGTATTAGTATGTGTAGCTACGATAAACTGACGCTTCAAAATTTTCTCCACAACCAGCCCGACTTCCGCTTTGCGTTCGGTCAGAGTATCCTGTTGGCCAGCTACATGAGGCGGAAGATATCAGCATCTTGGCCTGCGCAACATGTAGCCATCGTAGTTGCGTAAACCACAGCATTTCTTACGGTGGACTATGCGAACAGTACGACGCTAAAAAGGCCTACAAAAATAAGGAACTCTTGGATATGAGAAAGACTACTACAGATTTCGACAAAGAGACGAAGAAGTTTCCCAGCTGCGAAACAAATCTCATTTCGAGGAGGGCAGAAGTATAATGCAACTGGTACGAGAAGCGCAGCGGCAAAATGAGCGGAAAAACTGCGTCTGCCCAGTGTCTGTCGAGTACTCCGATCCCTTTTCTCAGATTGGCATGAGCACGCCATCCCCGAACGACTAGGTATACGATGAGTCTTCCTCCTGATTTACGGCAGCTGATGGCACCATCGTGACTGTATCTATAACTGTACATATAGTACCACTCTTCGATATAATCGGTGGGAGGCTCATAGGCCACTGGGTGAACCTCGTCATTGTCTGCCTCACCGTTCAATACCGTGCCTAGCGAATCGACTATATCTCGCGCGCAATATAACCAACTATGATGACAGGGAGTCAGAGCGTAGCACAAGAGGGACAGCAAGCGTTCATGGCGCACGTGTATGATATGCTCAAAAACATGCATCATCCACGTGTCACTCACACTGAGAGATATGTTGCATGCTTATCGCTGACTCTCAGCAGTATGACAGCTTTCTCAACGCAGGAACGGGAAACCAACATGTATTCAAGTCGCACGATCGACGTGCTCATACCTTTGACTGATCATGATCAACACATTCATCGGTCTCTCACTAGAGTCAACAGTTATTTCGTGGAGTCATGCTGGGTATAAAACGGAGGCGCATCAACACCAGTATAGATGCACAACAACAATCTTCAGTATACCATTACTTCCGTCTACTTCACAGATATATCCTTCAAAACAGCTATTCAACCGAAATAACACGTCACCTCAACATCAACATGTCGTCCGCACAGCCTGGAAAGGATGAGCTCGCCTACTTGCGTAGGTTCGAGGCTCAGGTGCACAACAACAAGAAAAGAGCAGAAGAGGCCAAAGAGAAGGCCGATGATGCCAAAAAGAAGACCGAGGAGGACAACAAGGCTAAAGAAGAGAAAGCCACTGAAACCTCGAAGGCCAGCAGCAGCGGCGGGACGTAGTGCAGTGGTTGGAAAACAGAGATGTCAACAAGCAAGTCAAGCAAGTCCAATCTCTTATCTGTTGCCCGTCTATATTCTAATTCGACTAGCCTGCCCCCTCAAGCAGAACGGTCGCTCACGGGGCAAGCAATAAAAATTGCTTGTTGATATTTCCGATGGAAGGTAACGAGGCACATGGGGTGTGTATGGTCGTCGAGGCATGTAATTTGTAACCAAGCTTCACTGGTTGAAGAGCTCCAAGATTACAGATTGTGGGTTTCCTTAACACATTCATTATGTCAGATCTTGTAATAATGTTTTCATACCTAATTGAACACGGATCCTGTTCCCACTTCTTGAGTAAATTTACCGTGCGTTGATACCTCTAGTATCGTTACCACCTTACGAGATTTCGAATAGCTGGCAGGGTCACCGAGAATTCGTCACGAGGCTGCGCGGATAGAGCAACCGATAAAGCATCGCTGTGGTGTACATAAAGTGTGTATGTATCGTGTTGGCTAGCAGAGGCCACTGGTCCATGGATGCCAATGGGGCTGGAATTGATCGACATGGGTGGGGCTCAATGGCGTCACGCGTCGCGGCGCGTTCTTTCCTACACCAAGCCCGCCTTCCATACCTCACGCAGCTGTGTACACATTGCGACATCTCAGTTGATACTCTCTGGTCTTGCGATTCGCCACCCTCGGGAGACGCAACATATAGTTGGTCCGCTAATCTTTCGCCAGCTTCTCGCCGACGCGATGCTCCAATCCACGCGAAATGCTACGCGCAGGCCGTAGCAGTCTGCGTGGCGCGCCTATCACGGAACTTCGAGAGATCACGCGACCCTTGAAGCGATGAAGCCTTAGTCGTATGCCACACGACACCATATGTTATATTTGGGACAGGCTGGTCAGTCGACAGCAGCGTCCGCATACGTCAAACGCGTAATGTCCCACAACATCTGACCCGATAGTGTTGCGTACCAGCTACCCTACCAAGTTGGAGATCTTCTAGCTTGACTTTTCATTCAGGGTAATGGTTCATTATTTCACTGTCCTAATGTTAACGTCATAGCGCAACAGGCCCACGAATAACCTTCGGCAAACCGCGAGATACCCAAATCTCCGCCGTCTCGATGCGCGATACCCAACCGAAGCCGCTACACAAACTGGCGTATGCGATCGATATCCTCTCCGCGAGACAGTCACCTTCATGCAAATCCGCGCGATACTGCCTTGGTTACGGGCCAACGGAATGAACAAACCCATGGCTGGGCCGACCTAAGATGCACATGTTGACATCTAGGTCAAAGCATAGAGACTAGTCAATACCCATATTAGGCATCATTCTTTTAGGTCACAGCGTGCCTGCTATGCACGACATTCTCAGGGTGTCTGGACATAGATACTTCACCCAAGTGGTGTAGGGACGTGGAGGAAAAGACCAACTACACAAGCTTGAGTCAAACACCCCTATGCGCATCCGTTCAAAATCGCCAGACTACACGGCCAACGTCACCCCAGTACTCCGGCCATTGCTGCTGCATCTCGGCTTCTTTGAGGATGTGCAGACAATTTGACGCGCATCCAAAAAGAGATCAACAATACTCATCTACTTTCCTTTATCGTATGTGTTTAGAGCGTGAACAAAGCCGTGACGCAACCGGTATTGCTTCACTCACCAAACTCCATCCTGATGCAGAATGACAAGTGCACGGGTTACTTGTACTAGTAAGAATGTACGCCATATCCCTGTTGCAAGGAACAAAGAGTGGCGCATTACTGTTGTTGAAGCGGATATAAAAGCGACCCTATGATGTGACAGTGATGCCTAAGTATTATCTTCAGGACATCTCACGCTGATGAGGAGCTTTTCTAAAATATGAGCGGTTGTGGACGTGCCTAAACTGACACTGGAAAGGGTCAAGAGTAGCGGTCTGCCGAAGCTTATTAGCCTCCTGCATATCCAGCCTGAATACCATTTGGGCGCTTCTATTAATTGCTCTGATCACGCGACACCCTGTGTCAAAGTTGTGATGGCGTCGAGGTCGACCTGGTTGCTGTTTGATGAAAGATGCGTTGACAGCACTGCGAGCGCGATTTCCTCGAGAGTGATGACGTCATGGCTATCTCATCAACCCAGCCCTGGAGGTACCTTCAACACGACAACGGCACTCTGCTTGTTCCACCTAGAGACTCACCACCGCGCTTGCAACATCCCAAAGTCGATCCGCAACGAAGCTTTATGATGCTCGGAAGGCATGAAGCGACTCGTCCTCCTCACCTGATCCCAGAACCGGGATGTGTGCAGCACTACAGCTGCCCCGATATGCGCTCTAGTGCTGAGTAGAGGTCACATGAGGTAAAAAGCGGGTAAAACGGTGAAGCAATGATTGAGCAAGTAGTTGGTATTCTTTGTGGGCTTGATTTCTGCACGCAGCCTCACGTTGGCCTTTGTCGGTTTGTTCCTTTGTTACTCATCATTGACCCCAACGGCAGAAGATATACACAAAGCAGGTACAGCGCAACATGTGCCGAAGACCCATGTTTGATGCCATAGATATGGCAAACTGTATAGAAGTTGATGGAGACTCAAGATGCGAACTCTCAATAGCTAGATGTACCCTACGAAGTCTCCTCTTGACTACACTATAGCTTCGGAAGTCATAAAACACCTCATACGGCATCATGACAAAAGGACCACCGTACAAAACCGGGCAACCTTACTTTAATAGAACTTTCGAGACATGGTGTCGGACTAACCGACCAGGATGGTCAAGAGGTAAGCCTTCAAATATGGATATGCTGAGATGGTAGCTTACTCTATTAGACGATGTGAGATTGACCGCTCAGACTTTGTGGCATGGAGACATGGTCATTCAAAACTTCTTCCTCCGTAAGGTTGGGAAGAAGTTTAAGTATCCTATGCTGCAACAGCATCAGGTGCCAGCCGCACCATGGACCCAAAATGATGTAAACCTAGCAAGGGCAACTAGGCAGCTACCTGGTGCTGCGCCTCCTGTCATTGCAGCTCCTGTCATTGCAGCTCCTGTCATTGCAGCTCCTGTCATTGCAGCTCCTGTCATTGCAGCTCCTGTCATTGCAGCTCCTCTGGCAGCTCCTCTGGCAGCTCATCCGGCAGCTCCTCCAGTTCAACTCTACCCTTGCAGCTTTTGGCCCAACAGGCCGTGGCACGCAGATCCAGAAGACGCTTCTATCGGTCCGGAAATTACGATCGAGGCCATCAAGGATGACGTGTTTGAGGAGAGCCCTAGAGCAGACTGGATGGCTACAAAGCCATTCTTTTGGCCAATCCAAGATGAGCAAAATTGGGAGAACAAGAGGTTTCTCGGCGCTGGGGCCTCTGGCTGTGCGGGATTGTGGTGTCAAAGTGATGCCCAAGGTAACATATCAAGGGTATGTGACTTCAGGCATAGGATCATTACTCGGGTTTGAGAGAGCGTGCTGACAAAGAACAGCGGATGGTTATCAAGGAAGCGAGGCCTGACAAGATCCAATGGCGTGACCTTTGCTTTTGGCGAGATCAGTTGCCGTGCGAGATCCACATGCACCAGCTAGTCGACAACGGCCGCGTGGTATCTGATAGCGACGATGAGCCCGCTGGTTCTGATCATGAAACTCTGGTCAGACATCATGGTTACCGCTTGATGATGACCCAGCGGCGTTATCGCATCTTCTTCGACTACTACGAAGGCGGCAATCTTTGGCATGCTTTAGAAAAGCACTGCACCAGGATGAAGACATTCTATACCCAAGGCGAGGAACCAGGGCTTGATCATGACTGGGATGAGGAGTTCGGTTGCTACCGTGACTCAGAAGCGGTGCCCGGCGAGGCGGGATTGTGTGAGAAGATATCCGAAGGCCTTATCTGGAGAATTGCTAGCTCGCTCGTTCAAGCGTGTCAGATCCTGCATTTCGGCCAGGTCAGTATTGGAGGTGTGCAGAACACCACACCTGATTGGAAAGCGATCAAACACTGCGATATAAGACTTGACAACATCTTCATCAAGCCAGCGGCTGAGGAGAACGAGAACGAGGTCTGTGATCAACCTCCGCAGGATACGTTGGAGATCGTGTGCGCTAACCGTACCAGTACCCAATATTCGTCTTGGCAGACTTCGGCCTCTCGTTTACGGACATGGGTGCTCCTGCAACTGACAACCCATATGAGTATGTCAGGGAAATGACAGACGAACGATTTGCGCCTGTTAGTAACAAGGCTACAATCCGTATGTTTTTACAAAGTTAATTAGATGCAGGAACACCAGTTTGTAGTCAACGACGCAGCAGAAAGCGCTGGGGTAGTACCCCTAGACGAAAAGACAGATGTATGGCAGATGTACGTACACCACCATAGAATACCCGTTCGAATTTTACTAACTACAACCCTAGTGGTGCAGTACTTTACTCATTACTCAGCAATGGTTTCTTCCCCCCTCTCGGCCAAGGGCCATGTCGCTTTGTCGAGAAATTTAACGTAACTGTACCTTTCGCCGGCGACCTGAGAACCATCGTCGACCCAGAGGATGACCCATGGAATGACATGTATTTCTTTCCTACTTTCAAACGTTACAGCGAGGATCTGAAGCGGTTGGCGTTCGAGTGTCTGGCATGGCAATCGAGTGAACGGCCGACGTTATTGGAGATGAGGAATAGGGTCGATGATTTTCTTGGGACGCACCCGGATGTTGCGAATGATCGGAATATGGAGTCGCTAGAGGTCGTTCGAGATTTGGAATTCGCGATTGGGAAACCTATGAACTAGACGCGGCTTTAGTCTTGGCAGATCGATGCGCGACTTTGAAATCTGTACGCGCCCAAAGCTATGGCAACGGCTTCACAATATGCACTAACCTATCTGTAAATACGTGCTTGTATCCATGTCTTTGTCCTTCCGCATCAGCCATCTCCCGGCGTCGGCATAAGTGCCGCAACAGGAAGTTTGCATCTCTTTGTTCGGCCGTTGTAGTCCTGAACGCACCTTGCCGATGTAGCCTTTCGGGAAACAAGTCGAATGACAAGTTGTTCTAGCACATCCACCAATGCCACGGAAGTCACCACCCTATAAATCCGGTCTGCCCTACTTCAAACGCGACTGCGAAGCCTACTTCCCCACTAATGCCTCGACCGTTACATGGAGCCGCGCCGAGCAAAACAACACGGTCAACACGTTATGGTATGGTAGTCGGATTATCCGCGATTACTACAACGCGCGGATCGGGCGACGAGAATTATTTGGTCTACCAACACCAAACCCCATACCAGATAACCCGTTCAATGCGAGCGACGTCACGTTTGCGCGCACAAATAAGAGTATGCCGACGTATCGTGATGGATTGGGAGGAACGGAGCCGGCGTGGGTGAATGCTCCAGCGGGATTCGGCGCGCTTGCGATGACTGTGCCACCGCCCGCTGTGGTCGTTGCTGGCCCTGTTGCAGCGCCTGTTCGTGCCGTTACAGTATCGCAACCACGGCCAGTGAACCGATATCCCTTCAACTTCTGGCCACCTAAGCCGTGGGATGCGGAGCCAGATGATGCGACCTTAGGCATGACCATAAAAGCCATCAAGTCTAAAGAAGAGCCCGAGAATGGTGAGAGATGGATGGATGATACCCATGATCCATATGGCGACGGAAGAAGGTGGATAGGCGGGAAGTTTCTAGGTGCAGGCACTTTTGGATGTGCAGGTTTGTGGTGCGCAGTCGACGACAACAACATCGTGACGGCCAGAATAGTCGTTAAAGAAGTCCGCCCACATAACTGGAAATGGCGGGATCCAGCGTATTGGAGAGATTATCTTCCGCGTGAAATTCGCATACATGAGCGTATTGACGCGAATCGACCCGCCGCTGGCGCTGATACCTCAGGCTATGATAACTTGTTGAGGCATTTAGGGTACAGATTGATGATGCAGCAGCGCCGCTTCAAACTGTACCTGGACTTCTGTGAAGGTGGCGATTTATTCCAGGGATTGAAAGAGCACTTTGACCGATGGAAAAGAGGACAAGCGACGGATAAAATTGAGCGACTCAAAGTCGTACCAGAGAGCTTGGTCTGGCATGTACTGTCGCAGCTTGTTGATGCATGCCTGGTCCTCCAAACGGGATCGAAAGATCCCGCGACAGCGGAGTCGGCTTGGCCACCAATCACGCATCTCGATATCTCGTTGAGCAACATCTTCCTGGAGCCAGCGGCTGACGATGCTTATCCAAACTGTGTCTTGAGCGACTTTGGTATGGCAATGTATGATCTGGAGCAGAGTGATCCCGCAGTGAGACCCTCAGACAACCCTCAGGAGTACGTGCTCGGACACACCAGTTGCAAGTACCCTCCCGTAAGTCAAATCTGCTCGGTATCGAGACACCCAGAATAACTCGTGCTAATCGCATCAGGAGCAACAACTTGCACGAGGCACTCCGCCTGACTTGACACCTTTGAATGAGAAGTCAGATGTTTGGAGTATCGGAGCCGCAGTCTGGTATATGATTGCGAATCGCTCGGTCGCTGGTCCGCAGCGCGAACTGCATTACTCGGAGGACATGCCGCAAAACGTGAACATTGGCGAAGCGGATCATGGGCGACTAGACGAGCCCGGGGCGAAACCGTTTGAAGGTTTGGGCTTTCCGGCGCTGAGCAAATACTCGGAAGAGCTGAGGTCGTTGGTTGCGCGCTGCATGAACTGGGAGCAAGAGCATCGGCCAGATCTAGCAACATTGAGGGCCAAGATCAATGCGTATCTGGCAAGCCACCCGAAAGTGAAGGATAGCAGAGACTTTGGGCCGCTGAGAATGTCGAATCTGGAACAAGGACTGGGGATTGGAGACACATTTGTAAGAAAGAGGCGAAAACCGGTCGCAGGAAAGCAAGCCCGTAAAAGGCGAAAGGAAGACGAAGATAATAGTGAAGAGTGATTAGATGCCGTTGAATGCGAGTTTCGCTTGGAAAGACTCCGTCGTCCGGCAGGACTAAGCTGTTTTTCGCAGGCGAAAGTAGAGTGTTTTTGATAGCACTTTGTCCATCTTCCCTTTGCCTGCGCTGTCCAGCCCCTCCGTTCCACCTGTTATCGTTGCCGATTACTGGTTTTGCGTGCATGTTCGAATCGATATCCGCCTAACCGTACACGAGTGCCCGCGACGAGCGATTCTTCATGTCCATGCTCGCCTCTGTTCCCGTCTATGTCCTGGTCCGAGTTTGCTCGTGCGATCGACTTCAGCAAGCTGCTTATCACCCAAAGGCATCGCGCAGCTGCTGGTGTGTATGATGGGTAGGGTATGGAATTCGGATCGGTAGGCCATGGCCTGTCAGACGGTTGGATTAGGTTCTCGGGTCGTGTTCTTTAGCGGTGCCGCTCACGTGCTATCACGCGGTGATATTATCTGCTCTCTAATTTAGTCTTCGGGTCAGAATCTAGCAGAAGTGCGACATGCTCCAACATACCTCTCGCATAACCGATGCTGTTCGTCTTCGTGTATTCGCCGACATCCCAGCAAAATTAGCTGCCATGGCCTTGATAAGCCCTTACCATTGTGAGTCTGTTCTCGCATGAAGTAGGTGGTCAGCTGTAGCTACACATAGCTTTCGAGATCGTCAAATAATCCGAGTCTATTGCTGGAATAGAGACAACGCGGACACGGATCTAAATCGCTACGAAGGCCACGGGCCATTGAGGGGAGAATTGGAACGCGTTGTGTGCTAGGTGTGGGCCGTACTTGAAGTGAAGATGGTTGAGCATGGTAGTCGACCTCGGAATGTGACATCAGGGAAAGACGCGGTGGAACGTGCACGCTTATCTTATCCGACAGCGGTGGTGGAATACGACCAAGCCACTAGGTAGGAATACCGCAACAAACAAACATCTCTGCATCATTCAAGGGCATTGACGGAAAATACGAAACGGGTGTCATGCAGTGATCCTTTTCCTCAGCCACTACCGGCATCGATTTTTGACAATATTTAGGTAATCTCATTCCTCATCCTACCCTTCACTTTGTCATTGCACAACTGATCTCTTACTTCGTTGACCATCGCTTTACCTCACAACTTGAAGCTGTTCTGCACCAGCTTCTCACTCAAGGCCCACAGTCGATCGGCCAACTTAGGATCAGTCGCGTATGGCATCGCATCACACATCTGACAGTCAGACAGCATGATACCCTTTGATTCTAGTACGTTGTCAGTATTGAGTTTTGCGGACTGAACCTTCACTTACCGTCCAAAGCTGGGTCTAGCGCCGCAACTAGTACCGTCGCGGCACCTTGATCAAGGCTTTTCCAGAAGGGACTGACACTTCGGATCGCAGCCTCGCCATCCGCGTCCAGATTTCGACTGAGACCAGTCCAGATTGCTAAGCTCATCAGCGATTCTGAAACTACGCACTCAAAAGGCTTGCGCAGCGGGGTACTCACATCCGGGATGCACCGCATAACTTCTCACACCCTTTCCTCTGTAGTTCTCGTTCAAACCCACTGAAAACAGCATGTTCGCCGTCTTCGCCTGTCCATAGGCCAGCCACCCGTTGTATCCATCATCTGCGCCCTTCGCAAACTTCGGAGGAAGCTGCACGTGCCTCTCTTCTTCGGGTATCTCGTCTTTGCTCTTCTCCCAGTTGTAATCAGAGAATCGAACAGGGCTCAACCGATGACCAGCAGAAGTGAGGTTGATGACGCGGGTGGCACCTTCATCTGAAGAGGAAGCAGAAGCCAGAAGTTGATGCATGAGCAGGTTGGTCAAGAGGAAATGGCCAATATGGTTGGCGCCAAATTGACCTTCGAGGCCTTCTTTGGTAGTTTGACGCGCCGTTGTCATGATACCAGCATTGTTGATGATCAGATCCAAGCGGCTCGTCAATTGCGACACTTCTTTTGCAGCAGTCTTGACAGATTCTTGAGACATCAAGTCAAGAAGGACTACTTTGACTAAGACGTCTGGATAGACATCCTGGGTGCTCTTTACGACCTCTTCTAGTTTGGACTTGGTGCGTGAGGCGAAAACGAGGAGCGCTGGATTTTGGGAGGCGATCGAGAGGGCTATGGACGAGCCGATGCTTTCAGGGGATACACCGGTTATGAGCACTTGTTCAAGTCAACTTTGCTTTCAACAGCGTGAGCACGTTGAAGTCTTACCATTCTTGCCATGAATCTGCTCGGCAAAAGCTTTCGCGACTTCAAGACCGCCCGTCTTCTCATCCCATTCAGGATGAGTCAGAGTCGACATTTTGGCTCTCGATATGTTCAAGAAGTAACAGTCTGAGCCTTAGAATCTTATTAAGGGGAGTGCGTAAGTCTCGCTCTTGCTCTCCCTGGGACTGAGCTTGTCTACCATAGCGACTTCCATCCGTAAGCATCGAGACTGCACGCGCATTTCCTCCCATGTCCACAGCATCTGTGTCGCCTTCGGGACAGCATGCGCTGGAAATGGACAAGTGCAGTTGGGGTGAAAGTTGCGGGGTACAAGCTGAAGGCGGGGAAGGTTAGCGCCATGTGGGGCAGCTACAACGTATACTTCGCGTTCCCAATGACCTCGCATCACGCGTCAACATCCTTTAACCGGCAGATACGGCGATCCACATCGCAATGATACGACTCCACCCCACGGAGGGGACATGCCGGGAGAGGCGTCCAGCACCTGCAGGCCCTCAGCGCCACGACTCGCGCTTGCAACCTCGGTCGTCGGTTCCATCTCGCCTGGTTGAAGTTACTGAGAAGGATGGGTACATGGCCATATCATCGGTAGATGCAGGGTTGCTGAGCCCCACGCTCACAAGCAATTACCTGGTCGATGCGTCTGGATACCTGGGACCTCTTCTCGCATCGAATCGCGTTGTGTTACCTTATTCCGCCCAGTCGTGAAGCTTGATTGAAGTCGCGCATGCCACTCCGTGCGAGAATAGACGAGACCAAACTCCCCAAGATGTCTTCTTTAGAGACCAACGACAACGGCCCAGTCACTAATGGCGCAAAGCCACAGACGGGCATCAAAGTCATTATTATCGGCGCAGGTACGTCCTTAGCAGTCCGTGCCACAGCCCCGTTCTAACACACATCACCAGGTTTCGGCGGCCTTACAGCAGCCATAGAATGCATCCGCCACGGCCACACACCCGTCATCTACGAATCCTTCCCCTCGCTCAAGATCCTCGGCGACATAATAACCTTCGGTCCCAACGCCGGGCGCATCTTTGCGCGTTGGAGTGATGGACGCGTCGCGCGCGACATGCGCAAGATCTCGATCGATCTCACCGAATACGGCTTCAACATTCATAAATGGGACACTGGCGAGATTGTCATAAACCAGAAGACACCACCACGCGACGAGAAGGCGCCGAACTTCAACGGGCATCGCGGTGAACTACACGAGATTGTGTTCAACTATGCCAAGGAGATTGGTGTGGAGATCAATTTGGGACAACGAGTGGAGAAATACTGGGAGGATGATAAGGAGGCGGGCATCGTGCTAGAAGATGGCACGCGCGTTGCTGGCGATCTCGTGGTTGCAAGTGATGGTGTGCGAAGCAAGGCGAGAACCCTAGTGTTGGGATATGAAGACAAGCCAAAGAGCAGTGGTTACGCTGTCTGGCGAGCATGGTTCACCAATAAAGACATGATCGCAGACCCGGAGACGAAGCAATTCTGCGAAAACGGCGATTCCTTTAACGGATGGATCGGTAGGCCTTCTTCGACTCTGAAGACTAATCGTACGCTAACACTCCCAAGGCCCAGATGTACACTTCCTATTCAGCACCATCAAGAACGGCACCGACTGCTGTTGGGTGCTTACCCACCGTGACGACCACGACATCGACGAATCCTGGTCCTTCCCCGGCTACCTCAAAGACGTCAAGACTGTGTTGGACGGCTGGGATCCAATGTGCTGGAAAATCGTTTCCAAGACACCGGAAGAGAAACTCGTTGACTGGAAACTCGTATACCGGGACCCGTTGCCCAACTGGGTTTCAGGCTATGGCTCCGCGCCAGGTCACGGTCGGATATGCTTGCTAGGCGACGCAGCGCATCCCTTCCTTCCAACAAGTGCGCAAGGCGCGACGCAAGCACTCGAAGATGGTGTCACACTCGCCGTGTTGCTACGAAAAGCTGGAAAGGATAACGTACGAGGCGCGTTACGAGCGTACCAGGATATACGCTACGATCGCGTCAAGGCTGTGCAGAAAACGGGTGAGACGACGAGGGACATGTGGCACAAGACAGACTGGGAGAAGGTGAAGAAGGACCCGACACTGATTCAGTTCCCAAGAGAGGATTGGGTATTCCACCATGATGCTGAGAAGCATGCGGAGGAACTGGGGGATGAGTCGATCAAGAAGGCTAGTGCTGTTGCTACGTAGATAAATCGAGCGGAATCCTCACAAGGATACACCCAACAAGATTTTAAAGCTCATTGAAAATGCTTCACGATGTGTCTGTGGCAAATGGTGTCAGGCTCTTATGATGTCTCCGAAAAAGTGCACAGCTCAGAGGCACGTAAGCCACGTCCAGCCTTGCGTCAGTTCGATAGTAACACCGGGACACATCAGCAATGACATCGAAGCAGAAAACGCGTAGTAGAAGGAGCAAGAAAATCGATTGATCCCAAGAGCAAAGCCTAACTATATGTGCGAGCCAGAGGCGTCAAGCGACGATATCTCCTTACAAATGGATCCACTCGTTGCAGCAAGTCATAGCTCAGCCACTCTTCTCCGCACCGACAACCTCGTGGTGCACAACCTCATCCTTGTCGCTATCACGCCTCTCGATCTTGTCGTCAACACCAGCTGCAACACGGCCAGTACAGACGTACTTTCTGAACTTGCGCGCCGGAAGCCTAGCCTCAAACATCTCATCAATCTCTTCGAGAGTGCGGTTCTTGATCTCGGGCAGGTAGAAGTATACCCATGCTGCTGTGATGAAGCAAGATGGTCCCCAGATCCAGCCTACATATGATGTTAGTATGGGGTTGAGTTGTAGAGAGGGGAAGCTGGAGGTCTTACCATATTCAGGGCCCCAATTGAGAGAATCGGGGTTGATGAAGTATGGTGCAGTGAAGGTGGTGAGCCAAGCACCTGCGAAAGCGACTGCCGATGCGATACCAAACGTGTATGAGCGCAGGCGCTGCGATGGGATTTCTCCGCCAGAAAGCCAGGCGTAAGCAGCGATCATACCGTTGTAACCGATGATGTAAATGACTGAGAGACCGACAATAGCCTTGGATAGGTCAGTAAGAACCTCGCATAGGCCATAAAATGAAGATAAACGTACCTTTCCAGTGCTTGTCGTGCCAGGGTTGACGTGGTAGACAGCCGCGATGATAAGTTGCGTAACACCACAGATAGAAAGACCAGTCATGAGGAAAACGCGACGGCGACCGATCTTCGAGATAACGCTGCTGTTGATCATAACTACAACGACACCGACGGCGGTCAAGATGCACGAGTTCATGAAGGGGCTACCAACATTCGCCATCTTGTTCAATGTTAGTCCAGTTCACTCAGAAGAATGGGAGCGGTGTACTCACCTGGAAGAAGTACGTTCCGTACGCAATTACAAACATGGCACCCGAAGCAGCCTGAGTCGATACCGCAGCAATAGCCAACAGCGTGCGCCTACGATCAACAGGATCTTTCCAGATGTCCAGGAAGTTCGCGCTCGACTTGACAGCCTTTTCAGCATCAATCGCCGCTTGGATCTCTGCTACTTCGCCGGGAACGCTTTCGGGATGAGGACGCATCCACAGGAGCGCCTTCTCGGCTTGCGCTGGCTTTTCGACTAGAATCAGCCAACGTGGCGATTCGGGAATGAAGAACAGGCCAAGAGACATGAGAACCGGGACGATGAAGATCATTCCAAGTGGGATGATATACGAGTTCCGACCGTTCATATCGTGTGTTGCGTTGTCGATCACAGTGCCGATGAGTGTGCCCACCGAAGTCCAGATCTGGAAAACGGATATCATGAGACCGCGGTATCGAGCTGGGGCAGATTCCTGGTCGTAGGTCAGTGATGTAACGGACGAAGGAATGGGAACACGGACCTGGATATAAAGCTGCGAAAAGGTCATATACCACCCATTTGCAATACCAATCAAGAGTCGTCCAGAATACAATCCCGCAATGTTGGTCGTAGTCATCATGACAATGTTCGCAACGCAGCAAAGCGCACTGGCCATCCAGAGACATTGGCGCCTCCCCAGCTTCTTCGCGAAGACACCAGCGAACATTGAGCTGATAAAAGCACCCAGTGTCATCAAAGACGAGATGAGTTGCTGACGCTCGGGAGAGATGTTGTAGCCTATAGGCGTCATGGGATCAGGATGGCCAAAGACTTCGAGAAAGCCGCGCATGGCTTGTAGACCGCCGATGGCACCAAAATCGATACCGTATTGGAACGGCGACATGGAAACGAGGGTACATGCCGCGAGGCATCTCCAATTGGAAAGCAGACTGCTTGTTAGATCGGGCATTTTGGTGGTGTCTCTCTCCAAAGATGGTGATGAAGAATTTCAAGACGATGCGGCGAGGTTTTTGCTCGATGTTGCGAAGTAGGGTTAGCTTCAAGAAGCGATAAACTCTCAACTAGAGAGGCTGGCACCAGCGATCCTTCTGCCTCATAACAGGGCATCCCTTTCATCCAGACTCGCATGCAGATCTTTGTGAATGTGGTCCCACCTGCATTCTTGTCCCAATATATGCCGATAGTGCCTGGAAATGCTTAGCTTGCCCCTACCCCGGAATCCACAGGCAGTCTAAAGTGTGGAGTGCGGAGGTGGCGGTGTACCATGTACAATATCTCAGGTATTAATGCTGGTACTTCCCGTTTCCGCGTGGCGTATGGGACCAATCATCACGATGCCCGGTAGCTATTCAGGAAGAGTGACAAAACGCCCGGCAGTTTCTGCCGTTTGAGTGCTTGTCTTGCTACCCGCCATCTGTTTGGAATAGCACATGGCTAGGCTGTCGCTTCGAAACTTTATCAAGGTCGCCACAATAACCTCCCTCGAAACATGCGACCTCAGAAAACCAACATCGAATTTACAATCAGGGGAACCCAGGGAGTTCGCAGGCTGTACGGTAATACCGTGCGGTCGGAGCGATAACGCCGTGTGACATTGACCATGATCGTGAAGAACAGTAAAGATCTACATGTACTAACTTTCACAGCTGTGCATAGCGAGTCAATAAACTTCATGTCCTCCACTTCGGAATCGGGAAGTGGAGAGCCTCGTGCCCGCCTGAAGGATCAAAGTATTCAAAGCAAGTGTTGCGATCCGCTAATGTGAACAGAAAATGAAGTTGGTGGTTGAGAGGCGGGGAAGTCGACTGCGAAGGTGGTGGGGCACTTTCCAGATAGAACCTTGCAACTCTACGGGCATGCCACCTACGTAGTATTGAATCTGAAGCAGCAAACAGTGTCTAAGACAACGAGTTTTCCAGGCTAGACTCAGGAGTCTCTCAGACTACCCTCCTTGACCATGTCCACAACGTCCATGAAGGTATCGTACATGTAGCTACGCCGCTTCTGCCCTTGCTCATTTTCGAAGACCAACTTCCATTTATCCTCCGGCTTAAAACTGTCCCAATTTACTTTTACCCAATCGTGGCAGGATGCATCAGAGTCACAGTGGTTGTTGTTGACATCTTCATGCAGTTCTGCATTGTCATACTCCAAAACATCTTCAGCAAGATACCTGCCGACTATCATAGTCCTCTCATGAAGGTAGAAGTTCTCGGTCTCGTAGTAGCTTACGGCCGAATTGGCGCAAGCCCTGAAGAAAGCGCGAAGGGTATTCGGGTAATGGAAGTTCGTGTTCTTGAGGACAATGCGACGGATCGTGGAGGAGTGTACGTTGATGATACTCGCGAGTGTAGGTGCAGTAGTGCTCGTAACGAGTCCGTTGATATGGAGCGAACGTAGGCGGAATGGAGGACTGCCGCCCAGTAGCTGGAGCAGAGGAGCCCAACTCTCATTGCGGATCTGATACTTACCGATACCCTGATCGCCAACAGACAAAGCCAATGCTTGGAGATTTGCATTGGTATTGATAAGCTTGACGAGGGCTAACATGTATGCATCAGTCTTCAAGGTGGCCATGTCGAGTTCCAGGTTCAATGACGTTAAGCCACGTAAGGTAGGTGAAATCGTCTCGAAGAGCGACTTTGGAGTCCCCAGTAGCCAAGTCTGCCACTTCAACCCGAACCCTACAACCCTGAACTCTTCAAGCTGCTGTGGCGCAAGCCGTATGGTGTCCACCAGAGCATGCATGACTCTGTATATGGGAAGCGCATGCATGGTATGGGTGTGTTTTGGTGAATAGGCTCTCGAAAACTCGGGACGGAAACCCATAACACCCATTGCCAAAGGATTGGATGTTGAAATCACAGGGTAGCACAATTTGTCAGCCATCCCTTCCAGCGCGGGAGGTGCACGAAGCGTGATACTCTTCAGATTTGGTAGACGCCGAAAGATAGCACTGAACAAGTTTCGCACGTCAGATTCGCTGAGCGTGGTTCCAATGCAAGGTGATTTCGTTGTGTCCAGGCTTGGACCGTATCGCAAGCTCTCCGGTGACCGACATTTCAATTTGGAGTATATCTCGAGTGCGCGAATACGGGTTGCAAATCGTAAACGGGACAGGGCCTCGAGACGTTCGACGCTCGTGATAGTGGTTTGACATCTCCGGCTGGAAAACTTCGCTTCGGTCTAAGTACGGTGGTTAGCGACTCATTAACGAGCACCTTGAAGTGAGATAGAGTACAAGCTAGGGAACGATCGAGCTTTGGGTAAGGGGAGAACGTACTTACAAGAGCATGATCGATGGCCTGTAATATAGTCCGACTGCCGAGCGCTTGTAGTATGCTCAGAGATTCCTTGTCGAGATTCTCAGCGATCATGCCGATGAGCTCGGTGGGTAGGTCTTCCAGACTTCTCCCAACTGGCGGTGATCTGTAGTCCGACATGAACACATCAATGTCTGTATGATCCATGATAGCCCTGTCCTCGGGCGTAATGCTGTCCTCGTCCATGTTGGATGGTGATATGTGGCTGGAGGTGCTCAGGGTGAAAATAAAATGTTGCAGATTTTATGTGTGGGTTCGAGATGAATGGCGGTACGAGTGATGCGAGCGGTGGCTACCATGGTCCTGGCTGGCGATAGGAAGGGCTATCTGTGGCACCACCCCATTCAACAAGGGAGCTGAACAGGCGCCCTGCAGCCTACATTCGTGTTGAAACAAGTGTTAGCAAGATCGTAATGCAACGTAGGCATCCTGGGTTGTTTCCTTCTATCTTTTATGTAGATGGGTGTCCAATTTTCCCTATGAGTGGGTGGCATAGAGTGGTACTGCTTCCCTGGTCCACAAAGGAGGAGACCCTTTCGGTCGCTACGTCCGATTTTTGGCTGACCATATACAGTCGGGATTTCGAGGGCGTTGTGTTCGTCATGGCTTTCTACGCGGATGTTCGCGCGCATCGTGTGCGGCGCAGTCGAGTTGAAAGAGGAGAGCATAGGGTGCTAGGGGATCATGGCGCTCCTAGTGCTCGAGTCGTGATAGAAAGTGCAATAGTAGGTACTAGACAAAGTACATTGCGATGAAGGGCATCGTGATTTTGGTGTCGACATGTTCAGAGACGTCGATGATGCCCAGGTGCATTCCGGCGCTACTGCGTAGCTAAGCATCGCGTCGCGTCGCGTCCGGGGTTCGGCACAACACCTGCCGCAAGCTCCTTGCCTGCCGCCTCACGTGCGCATCCGGCACAATGCCCACAGATGCTGGCCCACCTGCATCCTTCCGTGTATCAGTGCGAGAGACTTGCATGTCTTCGGGTGTGAAATGCCCACGAGGCTGCAAACTTTACCCGGCTGTCTGTGCCCCACCCCCGCGATGTGGGGTTAGGCGTTGCGCGCATGCAACCCTCCGAGGATGGCTACTTTCAATGCTGCTGGCGGCGATGCCTGTTGATTAGCAAGCTCTGATTCATGTGTTTGTTCATTGGTCGCTTCATAACAGACGCGTCGTGCGAGCTGCAATGCATCCCTTGGTCTCAACTGTTGCTTGGAGCAGTCTTCTTCTGAGGAGCATTCCCAGTGAACACGATCAATACAGCGGAAAACATGGCGATAGAGCAAATGTTTGAGGCGTTGCCTCTACACTATCTGCAGCATGGCATCTCCAAGTTTGGTGCTGGCAATATCGCCTTGGCAGTCTTCTTGACCGCACTTTTAGGTGTACTTGCAGATTATGCTTGGATGCTGTATATGAGATCGAAGATGGTAAGAGCAACACACAGGATTTGATGATGGTACTAACGTTGAATAGCCCCCAGGGCCCTTCCCATACCCCATCGTTGGCAACACGTTCCAGCTGCCTGACAACAAGCCCTGGATTTTCTTCGAGGAGCTATCCAAGAAATACAGCACGCCGCTGATAACGTATTGGATCGGACGTAACCCAACCGTTTGGATCAACGATGCATGGACCGCAAATGAACTACTCGACAAAAGAGCTGGCATATACTGCTCGCGCCCGCGCATGCTTGTCTTTGCCGAACTCGGATCTGGCCAAAACAACCTCGTGAACCTGATCACTACTACGCAGGCGCAGCGGGAGCGGTTTCGGATGCTACGCAAGGTGACGCACCAGGGCGTTGGCATCCAGCAGGTGAAGAAGTACCGCGACTTCCAAAATGATGAGAGCAAAGTCGTCGCCCTCGATCTCCTGAGCACCCCCGAAAATTACGTCGCGCACTTTGAACGCTACGCGACCAGTGTGGTCTCTATCATCGGCTTTGGCAGACGCGTTGCGAGCCACGAAGATCCAATCATCACCGAGGTCATCGCATTGATGCATCGAGCAGCTGATCTGAACGTACCGGGCAAGACATTCCCTATGCTAATGGAGACCTTTCCGATTCTTGCTCGCGCACCTACGGAATATGCCCCATGGAAGCACGGCATGGGATCGAAGAAGAAGTCATCCCGCGGCCATGACTTCTTTTATTCGCTCGCCAGAGAAGCAAACGAGAAGCCAGGACACGAAGACTGCTATTCAAAGATGTTGTTTCGCGAGCAGGAGAAATACGGTCTCAATCACAAGGAGATTTCGGCATTAACTGGTAACCTGTTCGGTGCGGGGTCCGACACATCAAGTAGTACGCTCATCACCGCTGTTCTCGCCATGCGAGCGTTCCCAGAAACTATGCAGGCCGCGTGGGAAGAGCTAGATCGCGTTGTCGGAGAGGACCGTAGTCCTTCGTTCGAGGACGATGCAAACCTACCTTACATGCGAGCATTTGTAAAGGAAGTGTTCCGATGGCGATCAGTAGCCATTATCGGTGGACAACCACACGCTCCAGTTCAAGACGATTACTACAACGGTTATCTGATTCCGCAATCCGCATGGGTACAGGGCAACGTCTGGGCGATACACCATAACGAGCGTGACTTTCCTGAACCCGACCGTTTTAATCCAAATCGCTTCTTGAAGGACCATCCGGATTCGCGACCTTTCCCCGGCGAAAGAGGCTACATGACATTCGGTTGGGGTCGTCGAGTGTGCTCAGGTCAGGCACTTGCCGAGCAGGGCACGTGGCTGACGGTAGCGCGATTGGTATGGGGCTTCAGGATCGAGCCAGCACTAGATGAGAATGGGAAGCCCATTCCGGTCGACATATTTGATTACACGTAAGTGTCTACTGGAAAGCGATCAGTATGTGAGATACTGACATCTGCAAGTAACGGTTTGAACATGCGACCGCAGCCGTTCAAAGTGAGCATAAAGCCTCGGAGTGAAAGGATACGTCAAGCTATCGTACGAGAGGGCGAACAGGCATTGGCAGACCTTGCGCAATACGAGGGTGAGACGAAGTATCGCATGAGTACATTCTACAAGAAGTAGATCTTGCCATGAGAAAGTAGTAGCCGGGACGGATTTGACGGTAGTGAGTGGTGGGCTGACGCATAGTCTTGGTCAGCCAAGGCGAATGTCCATCCAACTCTTTTTAACCGGTGATGCCTCCAATAAGGTTGATGTGGTCCCAGTACCAATTCTTTCCCAATGCGAGCCCCGACACTGAACTACCAGGACATGATGCTCTCTATCGTGTCCATGACGAAAATACCAGGGCAAGTGCAGTACATAAGACTCCAAGAGAAAGCTGGGAAGATCGTGAGCTGTAGGTTCAACATCAATGAACGTTGATGCCAGTCCGATGCGGGAGATTTTCGGGTCAGGCTCAAGATAGTATGAACGAGATCTCTGCGATTGCGGCAGTGGGAGCGGCATTATACGAGTAACGTGAGCACTGATATGGATGTATATAGTCGGTGCCTGTGTGATGGAGTCGTATAGTGTTTGGTAAGTTTTCCAGTCAACAATTTTCCCGTCGTTGAGCTCCGGCTTCACTGCGCATGAAATTTCAGTCTTGTCTCGGGACAATCTGGCGTTGTCCAACATCTTCAACCCCCTGGCCCATCGTACAGTGCCTTCCCATCCGGTCCACGACCAGCTAGGAAATTCGACTCGTCGTCTAGCTGGGCCTTCCACGTCCCAGCTCAAGTTGCTGACGAATCTTCGGTGCGATATGTTAAGCGGTGTTTTGTCCGACCCAAAACGATCGTTATCACAGTATGGCAGTCCCCAAAGGTGTCTGAGACCATTTGAGTGTCCCAGAGACGCGAAGATCCCAAGCATTGCATTCAGTACATCGCTTTCATATGTGAGCGAGCGTCTTGTGAACGCTTCGATCCGGCTGAGAACTGTCATAGCATAGCCCTTGACAGATGGGAAGAGGCCTGGGTCATGTTCCTCGAAAAAGAATCCAGTTTTTTCCCCACCACGACGCCAGAACATATGTTCTGGGGCTATCCAGCCTTCCATCCGAAATCTTTTTTGACATTCGAAATAAAGTTGAGTGTCGGTGAAGACAAGACGTCTAGTCGGAAGCAAGCCTTCTTGATATGTCCAGCCTCTCGTGCTCCATGCCGTGTTCTCTAGGGTATCGCTACAAAACATGGGAGTGGAATCCAGTTTTCGCTGCCCGATGTAGAGAGGGTGGTTCACTTTACGTTGCCGGCTAACACCTGGCAGTCCGTAAGCCCCATCATATCCCGCCGCTGCGATGATTGTGAAGACAGACCCTGCGTAGACCTTGTCCATTTGTTGGAGCTGTCGATGAAAGTCTTCTGAAGATTTCTCCAAGCAATATCTATCGACCCAAAGGTAGTCGTAGCCAAGCATCAGCGTGACTTTGATGGCATCTTCGATAGTTCTAGGTAAGCTGGACGATAGGACGCCCAGCTCCAACGACTCAGCGCCCGCTTGCTGGCCAGGATTTTGTGCGTCCGGCTTGCCCCACACGTAGCTCAATGTCACATACGACCCAGCTGGTGGCAGTTTTCCAACTAAGCGGTTTCTGCAGTCGATGACCTTCAGATTGTGTACGTTGGTGTCGTACTTTGACTCGGTCAAAAACTGAAATTTGTGACATCCATGACCCTTTACGCATGACGCGATCCACTCGCGGGCTTCTGTGTAATCATCGATCAGAGGTGTAATTGCTCGCAGATTCTGACTGATGGGTCCATCCGGATCGAAGATGATGGAACTGCGGATACCGAACAAATCGAAGAGACTATACTCCCCGCGTCGCTCGATACAAAGTATGGGTGCTTCGATCTTTTCGAGAAGAGGTGTTACTGCGACGTGAGATTGCACTGCATTAAGGTTGCACACCCCGCCTTCTGGCACCTGACCCATGCTGCCAGATAGGAATTGGCAGAGACTACAAGTTTCTGGCTTCAGTCGAGAGATCCTCAAGACAGTTCGGACCGGTACCCCCGGATTGAACCGGAGCGCATCGTCCAGACCGAAAGCTGCGCACTGCGAACAGAGGTGGTTAGGCGGTCTGACCACCGTGAAGCTTTGAGGAGGAGATAATGTCATGGCCCGACAGATCTTCTGGGATCGCAGTCGATGCGTATGAGCTGTCCTTGATTTGAATTGAATCTGCGTGCGGAATTGCGCAG